TGGGGTCGCCATGTGAAGGTGGTGGGATGGGGTAGAGGTGGAGGAGAGATCTCAGGCAGATCACTTTTCCACTTCTTAGGAGGGAGATAATAGAGATTCAGGAGTATAGTTTGCAGCTTCATACTTCTGACTATTTCCTCCACCCCCACTGAAAGAACCCAACCAGTTCTTACTTTTTCAGCCAGTTCAAGTACGTTCAGACTTACCAACCTTCCTACTGTATTCTTCTCACGCAAAGGTTTTTCCAGATCTGAATAATTTTTCTGAAAATTCATCCTTCTGGAAATTTATGACGACTTTCCCAGTGCTGGCGCCAGAAGCCAATACCGTGAAAGCTGTGGATGGAAGCATGTTCTATGAAGTCCATAAGCTTTCTGGACTTCATGGAAACATCAAAAATGTTCATAAAAGGGCAACACACGCAGGTGCATCTGTAATGTTCGAATATCTGTATGAAGCAGAGGAAAAAACTCAGCAGGGTAATGGATGAATTGCCTATGTATGTGATAAAAAAATTCCCAGGGCATGATTGTAAGTCTCATTAGTTTGTCCTACCTAGTTGAAGAGTCTCAGAGTCGGATAATAGTTTGAGCAGTGTTGCAGTTGCGTGATTTTATGGAAAATATTTCACACATGGCGCACTCCCTACATCTTGATGAAGCTTGAGTTATATTTCCCCTTTTGCCCTATTTATGGAGGCACAAAGCATTCTTGAAGGTAGATGGTCGCACAGGAGGTTGGGGGAGCATTAAAGGAATGACCTTCAGGTGATTAACCAAAGAGAGGCGTGCCAGGCTCATAACAAGCAGTCCGTTAGAAGATAAGGGACTTGGGTGTGCTGCGAGCGCTCCGCCCATGTTTCATTGCATAACTTTCGGAAAGTTTCGAGTTCTATTAGTCAGTGAAAATTTAGCCATCATATCAGTGCAGTCCTGAAAATGTGAAGAAGAAAAACTAGGAGCGTCTTCACGAGGTTAGTGAGTTGTTGATGAGCAGCTAAACGTAACGAGCATCACGAGCAGCTCGCTGATTGCAGTCCCGATGGAAGGGATTAATAATCGAAGCTCATCGAGCCCTCAGAAGTGCGCCATGCATGAGACCTTCTTTCAGAGACGCAGATATTTATAGTGGTCATGGAGCCACTGCTCCATTCTGAGCCTCTTCTTCCAATATAAGCTGCTCTGCTTGTTTGATGCTGCTCAGACTGCTTGACTTAAGAGCTCACCTCTCCATCGAAGTTGCTGGGCAATGGTCCGCACATTTCGCACACTTATTAAGAGCACTTAGAAAAGCCGTTGAACTATAGCGGTGAGAAGTACTAAAAGATTCCATTCATGGTTGAGACGGAATAAATTAACGAGTCACTTAAAGCGTCCGGAGTCAGTGGATGGGAATCGGCTGCGAGCGCGTGGGATCAGTGAAGTTCTTAACTCGGACAAATTGCCGGTTACGGGGGTTAGGGAAAGTCATTTTATAAAATATGGCCTACCTACTTCCAGTGAAAATGATTGACAATTCTTTTTTGCTCGCCAGCTCTCCATCTTTGTGCCACCTACTTAACCTTTGGTCAAGATAATTACTCTTTTCGAATGTCCCTCAGCCCGTTGTGTGCGCTCTGAGGGACTGGATACAAATAAAATGTTCTCTACATTCGTTTACTCAAAAGATAGGAATAGTTTTCAGAGGGGATCGAGCGGGATCAAGCCATCATCCCCAAAATGTAACAAGGCAGCTACTTTAGCCACACAGCCATATGGACTTTAGTAATAGCGTATATTAACTACAGTATCAGCGCAGGTTTTCACTTGAAGGACTAGTTGACGGATTGTTTTCAGTCACGAAATTGCCACAATATCTGAGGACATAGTTGGGTTTTCAGACTTGTTCTTTGGGAAATGTTGACGTCAATTACCTCACCACAAATTTCGACCCAATTCTATTATATTTCAATAGGGCCTTGTGAATAATTGCTATACTATTCAGCGAAAGTAGTAGCAAGTAATATCTATGACCTTATTCTTATGCTATTGAAAAAGTTCTGGGAAGGGTGAATAGTTGAGGCAATTTATTATAATCATACCCATAGAACCTCCCACAAAGGAAAAGGGCATACTCACCGCTTTTTATGATGTGGAACTGGAACTACATCAAAGGTGATATCAACAAAGTTCCCCACTCCATTTCTGGAGCTATTTGGTGTGAAACACGGGATCTGATAGTATAGTTCTTGGCTCAGTATATAAGGGAGGGTATGTCTGTAAGAACAAAAACCTGCCCAGACCATACTAATAGCTCCATTTGCAGTTTAGAGCCTCATCAGTCTGAGCAAGAGTAGAAAACATGGCGCATCTAGAGAGTTTTTCCGAGCTTCAGCCATCCAGCATCAATGTGCCTAAGCATAGGATAAGATAGTGGACAAACAAAATGATCTAATGAACAGAACTTCTATGATTTGGATAAAGCCACTGTCTCTGCCCATTAGGCAGATTGCCGAATGTCCTACACTAGAAACTCACCACGGAAGAAACAACTGTTATGTGTGTTTGGATCTTAAAATGTACAAAAAGAATGATGACTCAAAGTGTCCCTACAGATAGACTACGGAAATAAATAGCAATCAGGCATCTCGGGTGGCTCATTCGGGCAAACCTTCCATTTGTATCAACAAGAGAACACATAGATTAGTAAGTAGTATCCGAAAATATTTAGAGCAATAATTTGAAGGAAAAAGCATTCTTAGGTATATCACTTTTTTTCGGAGCTACATCCTCTGTTGCGCCGCGCAGTTGTTTTTCTAATGAAATCAGTGAAGGCCTAAATACAGATGTGATTGTTCGTTCATTAGTGGTCGTTGCCAATTGACTAGGTAGAAGGATAGTATTTGAAACGCAAAAACTGAAATGTGTTGGCGTTTTCTGCGTCGGTTGATCAGTGTGATACTTCGGTAGGGTAAAGTGATCATCTTGAATTTTGACTGGAAGAATACGATTGATTATTGGTAGACTCAGGCTCAACATTCGTGGCTAGCAACCAAATAAAATGTTGGGTACTGAGAAATATGGCCAGGAGATTGGTGGTAATCTATCTTGGTGGGGCACGCCATGTATTTATTTATCATTCAGAGTTGTACTCAGTTTTGAATGGTTATCTGTCCCTTACAATCCTACAATGAGCAGCCAATTTGTGGTAATGCGCTTTTGTCATTTCCCAACTCCTCGCTATTCGATATTGATTGAATACCATTTTTGAAGTCACAGCTAGAGGGAACCAGGATTCGTTGGTCATTTGGCTCAGCAGTATCTGAGTGGAATACGCGAGAATTTCATTTTCGTCTTCTATAGCTTCGAGTGGCATCATCTAATCCAACTGCGGCTTAATGTCCGCGATGATGGGACGGAAGGAGGAACCGGATAAATGCCATAGTACTAATAATTTACAGTTGTTATTGCAGTATAAATTCATATTCTAATAATCGTTATTGTAACAATAATATCATAAATTTAACATTCGGGATAGGAATAGGTAGGGGGTGACCCATGAATCTTATTATCAGATTTTCAGACTGCATCTTACCATAACCCGATTGAAATGCGTGTTGGATTGAGTTCCGCATAGGCAGAAGTATCTTTTACAATTACGAATAATGTTGTCACCGGTTTTACAGTTTCTTATTATTTGATTTATGACCTGTTTAAGAAAATCTTTATTTGAAGGAAAACCATGACTGACAGCGAGAATTAGCAGCAGGGATCTTTGTGTTTAGTAGTCTGGAAAGCAATTTTAACATCCAAATCCTACCTTGCTGCAGTTACACGTCCAACTTGTTTCATTGAAGAGTATAAATGGGGTTTTCGCGCTCCAATGACAATCTGGTATGTAGTCCAAGTATGGGGCTTAGGACAAAATCTTACGATTTTTAGAGCTTTAAACAATTTTCAGAGCTGCAATCAAACTTCTGACTCGTGATATTAGAAGACTTCAGAAGAAATTCTCTGTTTTGAACATTCTGAATTTGATTAGGACCAAGTAAAACAAAACAGCGAAACTAGGCGAAAGAAAAATGGATTAAAAATAAGTGAGTTCCTAGCATATTTGGTCTTTTCAGTAGCAAAAAGATTAAAAAAGCAGCATCCAATTGCAAGAGGAACTCTCGAAGCAGTTACAATTTACTTCGAACATGATTCATGATCTGAAAACGAGGTTTCAAGTCCTGCGAAAACAATGAAAGACTACTCTTGCAAAAATACTGATAAACCCTACTCCACAGAAATATCCTGTTCGACTATTTCCTAGCACATTACGCTTGGCTACATTTCTGACCCATCAACATTTTTTCTTTCACGCTCGATTTCACATCCAAGCGAAACCCATGCGTGTGGATGCGTTTCGGTCAACGGTGTCAGGTCGGTCGTGAATGAAAGCATGGTTCAAGGGATTCAAGGTGCATTAGACATCCATCGAATTAAGGCCAACGAATTCATTGGAGTAGAGCAGTAACAGTCGTGATGAAGGTATTTGGTGGACTAGAAGGCCTACAGAGCACTAAGTTATATGTTATGACAGTCTTCGCTATGGGACATTCATCAAAAATGTTCAGTGTAGTCTTTGTGATATGGATAAAAGCCAAGAATTTGATTGACTTTGGGTTTGACCCTCTTTTACTACCTTTTCAGTTAAAAAAGGGGCCTTCCTATGTCTGGTAAACGAGGAATTCCGTTACACAAGCATGACACAAAATTCACATGAATAAAGGATGTGTGATAAAAACGGGCCTTCGATAGATTACGCCAAGAAGCTTGATATCCTTTTTCGCCAACTTTTCCAGGTATCCTTGAAAGCACATAGTGTTTTCAGTAAGGTATCAATGTTTTAACACGTGTACAAAATAAGTTTATTTTTTCAGCGACCAGCCCGATCTTAGCTGTATTCTACCAACTCAAATGTTGTCAGTCAAGGAGAAGGCCAACGATATGTGGAGAAAGACGATCAAAGCGTTGAAGGTCTGTCGAAGCTCTTACAAGCTTTACATTTATTCTAATAAATTCCATTTCAACAGTTAGCCAAAAAAAGCGTTATTCATAGAAATTATTGAAGTAATCTAGTTGCGAAATCTTTAGAGAGTTTTTTTTATGAAGTTGTGTTCAAATTCACCTTGTCAGACACCTTAATGACTCATACAAAAGAAAAATTAAAATCAAACTAAATTTATTTAAAATAATGAGAAAATGTTGGTTGATACTTTTTTGGCTTTGTTTTCTAAGACTATTTGAGAAAAAATATTTTAGGACGTCAAGTCAAGCAACGTTTCACATCTTCAAAAGGAATTCCTATCATATTGTCGGCAATTTCGCACTTATGGATCGACATTCTTCATTACTGAGGTCTATATGTCGCAGGTTTGTATATTTTTGTTTATTTGCTAGTCAACTTTACCATGCTCATCATTCCTAATTATCACCCCATTCACTGATCAAGCAAGAACGGCATGGATTAGAATGGATTAGATGGAAGAATCTGGCATATGAATGTCAACTCGGAGTAAAGCTCTAGGGCAGATTTTAAATTCCAAAAGTTCGGGATGGAAAATTTTTTTTTTGCAATTTGGCTTGCAGAGCGACATGGGTTCCGTGACGATCCTAGCGATTGACTCATCAACACCCATTTTTGCCACTATCACACCTACCCCGGTCCTCCTTAAATCAGCAAATTATGAGATTTAGGTTTCTTCGATTTTATATGTTAGAAAAATCTAAGAAATAATTTTTTATTTGGAAGGAAAGTGAGTCTCATAAAAGTAGCGGATATTATAAGCCAAATGAGCTATTTTTTGAAATGATTGTCTTCTACGGAGCGCTCCAGTGAAAGTCGAGTTGTCTTTCAAAAAAAAAAAAAACGTCGAAGGAAGGCATATGACAGCTGAAAAGGCAGTGACGTAAAGTTTGAATCTGTCATCCTTAGTAAAGCCATGATCAGTTGCTCCCCTGAGATAGCAGCCTTTGAGCAGCTATTCCCGGCAGATAGTTGATGAATTGGTCAGGTCTCCGTTACGTATGTAAAGATGAGCTCGAGAGACACGAATCCTCACAGGAATACGCCCCGTTTTTGGTCAAAAACTGCCAGAAAAGGAGCGGTGACAGCTACTGAGTGGAACTGCGGAGTAGTGAAACCAGTAGTGAAACTCGTACCATGCTCCCACATTAGTATATAATTGGCAGGTCTATGCGATTCTTTGAGAAGTACTGCTTAGGACATCCATGTGCAAAGGCAGAAAGAGCCGCAGTCATTTGCTGATTTGAAGGATTGTATCCTGCTTGAGCACATTTAGCCTTTTTTGTTCGGGAGGATCGGTTAAATCAGAACCATGATGCAAAATGTTCTCAGGAGCTGTTTTTGAAAAAGGAATTCAAGAGTAACTGGCTGTTGAACTCGTTGCATGGGTGGCCCAATATGGACTTACGCTAAAACTTTCGACCGAAACCTGAAACAATAAATCAACGCCTGCCATTTTATATCGCATAAGGTCTGCTAGAATGTGCCACTTAAGCACCTCACCTGGATAGTTTCACCCCATTTTCCTAGGGTAGCCATAGTGGGCTTGACATTTGGCTCACTCATAAGTGTGAAGGCATGAAAACTATTCTTAACTAAGACCGTCCGCTCCGAAATGGTCACTAAACAGCCTCCCTTCCACCCCTTCCTTCTGTCATCCGCTTGGCTTTTCAGCTTTTCCGTATTTCACAGCGAGCATCAGGGAAATGTGGAAAAGAGATTATTATATTTTCCTTTGACCGAGCCATAATGTTTTGTTCACAGCGCTTAGTGTAAGACCCTACTAGGATTATGATTAGTTCAAATTACTACAAAAATGCTGTACATTTTAAAATTTTGTTTACGAAAATCCTTGAAAATGATGAAATTCAAGGGAAAATTCAAAGCTGGCCCCGTCATCACGAATTGCATGAAGAATTGTCTTGGGATTTTTTTTATGTTTTGTTTGTTCGGTTTTGGGAGCCAGCTGTTGAATGGAACGACGACAGGATTTTGAGTATTTCTTTGAAGAATCACAAAAGTGACAAATGTCAGCTTCGGATTCCCCATAGGAGTTGAGCAGCGTTGGAGGTTTTGCTGAGCCTAAGCAAAAGGGATCAGTTGATTTCCGGGACAATATTTTGAACCGTCTGATGAATAGCTTCGAGTCTGCCGGTTGCGATACTCGCGAGTCAACGGTTTGCCTCCAAAAAGCTGATCGAGTGGAAATGTCCTGGCTGTTTCGATTTCTGAGCACTTTGTACGAAAAAAATTTCCGAGAGTCATAAAAATTTTTGTCGAATTTCTTATAGACTTACTGTTTTTGATAATTTTAGTGACACTTTTCACTGTAATTTGATGAGTGATTGGTTCTCTAGGTTCCTAATTGTTTAGAATCTGAAGAGGCACCAAAAATTACTCATAAAGATTTTACAGCACGAAGAGAAACAGTTACGGTAGATAAGTCTAAATCTCACCTTTTCAGAAAAATTAATTATCTAAACGTAAGGTCGACAATGAAAAATTGAAAAATTGGAGACTTTACAAACACCTAAAGTTACGCTAATCTCGGCTGATGACAGAAATGAGTTGAATGGCATCAAAAAAAAACCTATAGTCATGGGAGGGTAGTGTGTGGCGACTCTGTGACAGCGACTGGGCGATGAGGAGTTCTGCCGAAATTATTACTAAATGGAAAGAATTCGGACATATTGCTACCTCATGCATGGTCACATCATGGAAATCACATTAAGTCATCGTGTTCAAGGTTCCGACATATGAATGGAATACTCTCCGCCATTTATGGGTCACCAACGGACATACGCTTCAATGCACTTCGGCAACGGTATTGAGGCCACTACGAATGGGGTGTTAGGCTTATCAGAAAAAGCATTTCGATGGCACGACAGCCTTGACTTCAAGGAAGGTGGTGTATGCCTAGCCTACCAAGCACTCTGGTATGCGCCATGCATCCAGTATCTATTCGGAATCGGAAATCATCGGAAAAAATGCGTGAACTTTTCAAATCGCTGTAAGCGCCATCACTGCTCAAATTATTGTTTTCGCTCCTCCGTAGATGAATTCGTTATCGAAGGAAGGATTTCACAGTGATAAAGGTGTTGGGTGGAGGGGACGAGGTTCTACTACTACTACTAGGCCAGAACACCCAAGTATGCAAGGAGAGGGAGGGGGCTACGTGCATCCAGGACCATTTGATAGACTGAATTGGAACTCTGCTCATTGACGCAGAACTATTCAACAAAAACAAAAAGAAAAGCGAAAGATCAACAGAGAATACTCTAGGATGGTTTGAATGGCTCAAAGGAAGCTAAATTTGGAAGCAAAACGCTCTTCAAGTTCAAAATACGATGAGTAATGGATTATAGTCGGTAATGCGTCCAGTATCGTTGGAGCAACTAAGAATGTAGTCCAGCCGATGGACATCATGAAGCTGTCTAGGAGACGGCGCGGTTAAAGCCATGAGCGACCCTCAGCAAGTGCTCGTCAAGTGGTCACTGGCCATTAACGGCTCTGGCGAGCCGTTACGTCTAGTGGCCAGAATTCAGCTCGAAAGGTCTAGTATAGTTAGAAATTAATTTGGATAGGTTGTGGGACTTCGAGTGATCAATCCTGCAAAGTGAAGGAAACTGGAGGTTGTGGGAAACTGGACAACCCTGGCCTGGTTAACTACTAGGGAATGCGCTTACTACAAACCAGAGCCAGAAGAGTACCATTGAATAATGAGATGGGAAGAAGAAATGACGTCTCAGCCAACATCTAGCATCTTCTAACCTGCCACGATAGTAATTAGCCAGTTACGGGTTGGTAGAAAGAGTAATGGTTGACCTTGGCCGGAAATGGACCCGGTGTGTAGCGCAAAAGCGCAGCGGTGTCTTAGTCGCAACGGTGCTTTTAAAGCTCAGCATTCACCGTGGATCAGAGGTAGAAACGAAAGATCAGCTGCTCGCCGAATTTTTGAGGATGCGCTACGCATTTAACCAAAATATTCACTATACAAAAAAGTGCCTAATGTCAATTAACCGACCTCTAAGGAACGAAGGTTCGGCCAACCTTTGGAGGAACTTGCTCTGATGACTATGCGTGCAATTGTGGAACTACTTCCCCCTCCTACTCCAAAAGCTGGCGGAAAAAGCTCCACAATAGCTTTTTTTTCAAGCCTTAGTTAATCTAATAGGAAAAATTGCAAATATGTGTTTGGTTGAAGTAACTCGGAAGAAGAATGAGTTATGAGTTGAGAAATGAGGAGTAACGATCTCGATGAGTAGTGTGAATGAGCTGATGAGGATGATGATGATAATAGCCGTTCTCCAGGTAATAGTCCTATAATTGGTGATAGTCGGACCAATTCATGCCATCTGTCCACAGGTTCTCGGCTGTCCCAAATTGACTCTTAATGGGTTACTGTAGTTATTTTAGGTGATGTCATAGGTAACACTAGAATTCATCTCCAGATAGAGTTTAGTAGGTAGACCAAGTCAAGCATTCAGGATTCAACGAATTTTCAAATGTGACTGAAGTTTTGTGGATTCCCTACAAAATAATATTATATATATTGATCGGGATCGATTTTCTTGTAAAATCAAAATTTGAATCAGCCCAAACAGAGTGGTATCAAATTATGTAAGCTAGTGTGAATGGGAGAGAAGTGAGTTGACTACTAGAAGGTTAACTGGTATGGATACAAGAGCCAGCTCCTAAATCACTCGGCAAGTATTCCCTTCTCCTCCCTCCCATCAACATAGGCTGTCGACCGGACCGAGAGAATGATGTTTTGTTTTTGAAAATCATTCTGACAAATGCATTAGTGCACGTCTTCTTACTACTCTCTTTTTCGGACATTGATAGACGGCTTGCGCACCCGTCAATTACTATGAGCCAGTAGATTAATGTCTGGGGATTAATTGGTGTTTACTTGAAGAGAAGAGAAAGCCCGAATTGGGAAACATAAAACCAGTAATACTTCTCATTAAATTTACTCATGGTTTACTAAAAACGAGTTTATTATGAAAATTACTTTTTTGAGAAGATGGGAAATGACATTTTTACTGCGAATGGAGAGAAGAGAGTTTATGGGTGATTTGGGGAAGTTTATACCCAGCATATAATTGGGTAGAAACTTTCAATTTTCTTCCCGGATGTCTTATTGAAAAATTCTGAGGTACTGCTGGAGAGAGCGAAGCATATTCCAGTAGGGCTGACCATATTCCGAGGAACAGTTGAACTTTCATTTTACTGGAAAAACTGTTTGATAAGATCTTTTGAAGCGTTAATGAGTTGTCATTGAAGGGAGGATGTTTATTTTTGCTCATCCATCGTCCGGGCATTGAAAAACACTCGGAATGCTCTCAGCTGCTAGTGGGAGAACAATTACAATTACGACGATTACGCACAATATGTCCCTGTTAAGAGTGAGCTATTAGGGACGGAAGGGTTTTGAAGAGTTTTGTGGGCCTTCTCAAGCGCATTTCTTGTCATCCAAATGGACAGTGGTCTAGCATGTGGTTCGGACTTTGTAATTACTGAGTAGACGAACCGTTCCTCGAGCTTTTGGGGGATACTAAACTTCCACGAATCGCAGTCGATGGAAAATAAATAAAAGGCTCCGTTATTCGAGGAGCGATCCACCAAAGCCTCAGGTAGAGCTACGTGGGTAACTTTTTTCACGACGACGGTTACGGTAGCGTACGGTACTCCTCCGCAATCCAGTACCGTATCCGTAGTCGTAGGAGTGGCATTCTCGAAACTCATGTTATTTGAATTTTGTACAATCCACTTATAATGATGACCATCTGGAGCTCTAGTTCTGTGCATTGTTTGATGTGTTTGTTAAAAAATTATTTTCTTCACTTTTGCAGCCACACACTTCACATTTGCGTGCGCATTGTGGTGTTAACGATTACGGTCTTCATCTTATCAACGCAGCAACGATGGCTTTGGTTTCATCGTACGATCATCGGGAGCTGGTGTGGTCATTCGACGTGGGCAAACCGTACTTAGAAGTTCACGCTCGAGCTAGAGGGCATCAACTGACAATAAGGACACCGCAGGTAGGTGGGTCGTGTGGAAGAGTCAGAGGAAAAGTACAGTCTGGAAGTGACTTTCTGATGTACTTTTGGGTGTAGTGTGTTGTATAGAAAAGAGGAAAAGGCAGAAAAAAATTAGAGTAAGCTGTCGTAGGTCAACATTGACCATCCTATAAGTAAAATGCTCGAGTACTGTAATGATCCTGAGAGGCTGAGAACGAAATCTGACACAAAAAAAAACTCAAAAAGGATGGCCCATAGGTTTTGATTGTTTTCCAGATGCTCCCAGACGATTTCACGATTTCTACTCGGAATAGAGTAATTGGTGCTTTCTTTGTCTTCCTGAATAATAACCTTTTGATTTACAGGCTGTTTATATCTCTATGTTATTGAACAAGCTGAGTGGNCAAACTTCAATCTGAATATCAACGTCAACAAAAGACATCCGTCAAGTGATCAAGGACAACTCGTCTATAAAATGGGCTGAGCTTACCGGTGCTTATTGTTGTACAAAACGTTGAACTGTTAGTAGTTTGCATAGAATGGATCAATGGCTTATATTTTTTACGTTATCCCTCTGACTTATTCATGAAACTTGGTGTATACCTCTGTGTTATCTCCTTATCCCTTCGCTTATTATGAATTGTGAGTAACGAGGAGAAAAGATCACGTGTTGTCATCATAGACAGTCTTACTAGTCAATCCTGTTATTGTGGGCAAGTTGAGTATGGTTGTTGACTTTCTGTAAGGTACTTTTACTTTAGTTCACTTTAGCACAGAATAAAATTTTCTATTACTGTAGCTCCGAAAATTGGGTCATCTGTTCATGGCCGATTGCATACTTGTTCACCACGCTTCCCCTTTTTTACTCTCGTTTTTACACTTAGACGAGATGAAATCTTTTTCTATCGTGGTTGGGGATGGCTGATGAAGTAAAAAAGAAAGAACTAGAATTAATCTCAACTTTAAATAACTCATACCGTACTTTCCACATATTGCTCGATAATGCATGGGGAATACACGCGTCAAGTCAACAACTCCGGTGGAGATGAAGTGCATGGCGCGCCCGAAGGGGCAGTGAATCAACTCTTCAGATTGTCCTTGTGTTTTCGTCTTTTCGAACACATTGTTTCGACAAATGTTCAAGGATTATTTTCAATGTGTGTTTCAAACTACTTCCAGCTTGTCAACAGTTTTTGTCCAAGGGGAATAGGGATCTTATTCGGTCAAAAGGTTCTCGATTTTACACCAGATTTTCCAATCTTTTCGATCTTTCGCGAGATAATTGAAAATGTATTCTCAAGTACCCATAACAAGGGACCGAAAAGAAGTCGAGTAGACGAGGCGATCGAAAAAGACCATGAAGTCATTAAATTGAGAGGTATTCTTCAGTGACTGTGAACCATGTGATAATTTTCTCTAAATCTCTGCATGTTGATTTTTTTTATTGAAATTGTTTTGGAACTCCGAGAAGGTCCCCTCATGGTCAAATTTTTGATCTCCTATATCAATCAAGTAGCGGCATTGTGGGGTGGAGGCAGCCTGCTCAGCAGATCTGTTTTCCCTTACTAAATCTTTTTCAATATTATATGATTTGCTCCGAAAGGTGCTGGTCGTGAGGATAATTTCTTTATTCACTACTATTGTATCAATTTTTTCTTATTATGAAGTTCGATGGAAAACCTTTAATTCAATAGTGTAATAGTTGTTAGTCTGTTTGCCACACGGCCAATAAAAAGGCTTTCATTACTACTACTGTGATGCTTTTAATTGGATTGATAGGGTCAACCAGCCTTAGTTGAAGAGTGTTCAACGTCTAGATTCAGCTTCAGATAAGTCATCCGAGTTGTAGGCATCAATCTGGGTCTTTTTGAAGTGGTTACTTGAAACCTTGATATTTAGTGCTACTTTTCAAGGGAAACT